TAAAGGGTCGCGGCATTAGGAAGGTTGAGAACCACTGTCTTAGGGCTAGTCTCTGCCCTTCGGGGCTCAGCTCAGCTCTTCTCTGAAGAGAGCTGGGACTAGCCCAGGAGGTGGGAGCCTATCTCTCTACTCCGATAAGTAATCAAATGAAGTAAAACATTCCGTAACGGAGCACAAGGCTCTGCAGACTCAGGCTCTGCCCTCCGGGACTGGCTATGGCTACACTGACTCTTAGGGTCTAGGCTGGCTCTTTGGAACTGGTGTCAGCCGTTTGGGACTGGATTCAGCTCTTTGGCCTTGACTAGGCTATCCTGGGCTAGGTCCATGAAAACCAAACTGAGAGAGTAAGGAGAGAAGAGAGAGGTCTGAGAAAAGTGAGAGAATGAGGAGAAAAGTGAGAGGTGAGAGAAAATTGAGAGGATGAGAAGAGAGAAATGAGAGAAAATTCACCTTTTCCTTTTAAAAAGAGGTTTTTATTGCCTTTGGTCCACAGTTGGTATTTCACATTATCTCTTGGTCCCAGGGCTCCTGGGTGGGGCTGGTCCCAGGGAGGGCCTCCTAGTGGGGGTCCCTGTGCAGTACTTGGCGGGGGAGAGGGGACAAGCATGGAAGAGGTGGGGGTCTGGCTTTGCCTCAACCACTCAGAACTCTATTGTCCTGTCTGCCTGTTTCCTCACGGGTGCCCTGAGGGTCCTGGGGAAACGCAGTCCCTCACAATGCCTAAAATATCTGGGGACTATGGTCCAAGCCCTCTCCCAAGGAACTTCCTTCCTTCCCACCCCATTCCCCCCCCAAAAAAAATTACTTTTGTTAAAACTGCCTAAAACTTCTGTTGGTACAGAAACCACAAACTGATCAGCAGAGAAAAGAGAAGAGGGGCAGAAGCAACCGGAAGCAAGGACCAGCTATCTGTCCCATTGTCCCACCCCCCAGGGCCCTCAGGCCCCCAGAAAGTGTCCAAGCCAACACCTCCTGACTGCCAACTATCCCAGCACTTTAGGCCACCCCGACTGTTTCCCACTCCGTTAAAGTGGGTGAAACGAGGTGCTGGGATGAGTGAGCAGTGTCGGGGGAAGGCTCTATGGAGGAAGGCGGTTTTGCAGTTGGGGCTTTGCAGATGAATAGGAGTTTGTCGTCAGGGAGAGAACTCCAGGTAGAGTGAATGCACAAGCAAAGGCCTGGAGGTTGGATGCTGGCGCACTGGGTGGAGCCCCAACTCTCAGTGTGTGTGTGTGTGGGGGGGGGGAGTTGTGATGGAGGTGGCGGTTTGGCTTGAGTTCCCACCTCCTTTCAAAACCAGGCAGGAGGTCCAGCCTCTTCCCCTATCCCAGGTCCTAGCCCTCAAATCATTTTT